ATCCTGCCTTGTTTGAAACAGTATACCACAGCTTGGGGCATTTAGAGCGAGCGGATTACCACCGGGGACAAAAGCACTCCACCACCGCAGAGATGAGCCACACGGCACCGCTGCATGCTAATCTGGCCCCTATTGAAAAGAGGTCAGCAGCACACTGAGCCAGGTTCGTGAACAAAAGAATATTACGTAACACCCACAAAATCTGGGCTCTTTTTACAAGGCTGCAGGCCTGGCTGAAATACTCAAGCGTCAATAGATTTTGTCAGTCAGGCTAGAGTGGACACCAGACATACCTTCACGTGTTTGTAAGTGTCCAGTAAATGAAGATAGGAATTTTTAAAGAATTTTGAAAACAGAAAAAAAAAGATAAATATCCCGCCCCAGCATCATCAACATTGATAAATGCCCTGGCAGGAAGTGGTTAATTAAATACTGATCACGGGATGGGCGAAAAACTCCAACAAAACCCTATGGGAAAAAAGAATACAGAGATAATCCCGATCTTGCTCCAATGAACATTAGCAACCAAGTTTATAACTCCATAGATCAGCATTTGGACTACACAGCATTGGTCATGGCTTTCCGTAGTTCTGATTTGAATGTCCCCAAGGAGTCTTTACCTCTGAGTTGCTCTGGCAAATTGTTCCATATTTTTGCACCTTTCACCGCAAAACTTTGAGCGTAGCGTTCTTTTTTGGCTAAAGGGACTTTAAGTGCCTTGTTAACTGAGTATCTTGTTTCACGTATCTGTGTGAATGGCATAAACAGATTTGTCATATACATAGGAGTCAATTTGTTTAGACATTTAAAAACAATAACAGCCTTTTTAGATCTAACTCTCTCAGGAAATGGTACCAGTTCAGTTTAACAAACTTCTTTGCTGAGGGGGTGAGAGAGGTGCATTTGAGGATAATCCCTGCAGCTCTTTTCAGACATTTGTTAAGAGTGGTATCGTGGGATACGTATCTTCCTCCCCATACCGTGTTTGTATTTAGTTCAAGTTTGTTTCTTGAGCACCAATGTAGAATTCTGTCAAGAGCTACC